GACGAGTTAATCAATTCTTTCCCTAACGTTTTCAGGTCCTCCGTTCTGTTCTTGTTGAGACCACTATCTCAATATCTTTCCATCACAAAAGCCGGTAAATTAAAATCAGAAGATATGCAGTTTGAGACCCTGTTAATGACTAGAGATTATTGCACATGAAAGTACATAACCTATAGAATCACACAATACTGATCGACAGTTATCTTCATTGAACTGACTTAAAAACGGCCTGGGAAGCAAAGGATGATGGCCGATGTTTAATATTTATAGTAATCGTTTGCTTAACATGAAGCCTGAGTTAATCTAAGGTCACAGATTTCAATCAAAAGACCACTATTCAAATTTCAATATTCTCCAAGCTATGTATGTTTATTCACTTTTATCATCTGGCTCCTTAAAACTACATGCATCCGGATTTCCCGTTCTTATTGACAAGACCATTCGTTGGAGCATAAATAAGGTTTATTGCGACCTACATTTCTCAGAGGTCAATTCGGTGTTTCGAGAGAAGGGTTTAATATCAGTGGTCAGTGATGTTTTTATTACAAGTATCTGCTATCAATCAACCCACTTACTTTACGTGTGAATAAGTTAAATGTAGTATCCACTCTCTCATTCGTACAGCGACCAGTCTCAAGACAAGGTAAAGGAGGTGGGTTGGGGATGTGGTCAGAAACCCCATCACGTAGAAAAAACGACTAACCACAATAAACAATCTTAACCACTTAAGTCCTCCCTGGGAGTTCAGGAATCTTTATTCAGACGAATTTTGACGCCTTACAGTGAAAGCTGATATTCCTGGGAAGTCACGAGACCGATGCAGCTTCTAACAATCAGAGTAAAAATAATATAGGTAGATGGAACGTCCAGACAATATGGGAGACTGGGATGGCTAACCAAATAGCCATAGAAATCGGGAGATACAACATGACAGTACTCGGAATCAGAGTAACCCATCGGTACCAAGCTGGAAAGCAAAAGCTAGATACGGGATGGATGCTGTTGTACTCCGGTCACGAAGAGAAAAATGCTTTACACACTCAGAGAGTTGCTCTGATGCAGTCCAAAGAAGCACGTACTGCATTTAACGAATGAGAATCTCACGAATCCAGGATCATCAAAGCATCCTTCACAACAAAGAGGTAGGAAAGCACAATGAATGTTATCCAATGCTACGTATCAACCAATGATAGCAACAAAGATGATAAGAATCTGTTCTATGAGAATCTGCAGCCAATCATAGCGAAGTGCACAGGAAACGACTTGTTAACCCTGATCAGAGACTTAAACGCCAAAGTCAGAACGGACAACACCGGATTTAAAGATATCATGAAACGATAAGGACTGGGAGAGAGAAACAAAAATGGGGAGAGATTCGTAAACCTATGTGCATTGAACAAATTAGTTATAGGTGAAAAAATCTTTCCACACAAACACATACACAAACTAAAGTGGGTCCCGCCGGATCACACCACAGAGAACCAGAAAAATTATATTTGTATCAATAAAATATTCACAAGGACAATTGAAGAATTGAAAACCGAGAGAGTAGCTGTCATAGCTTCAGATCACCATCTGTTTGTGACCTGGATGAAACTGAAGCCAAATAAATACTGGATACGTGTGTAAACAACATTGCAAACGTTCAATACAGCCTTCCTACGATATACTAACAAACGCAACGAATTCAAGATAGTTCCCAAAAACAAGTTCCAAGACATAAAGGGTCTACTGAAAGAAGAAGAAACTACGATGGAGGCCAAATAAAAAGCGGTCAAAGAAGCACTAACTTCAACGTACTTGGCGACAAGAAGTGTCACCATAAAGAATGGATCTCTACCGAAACCCTGATGAGGATTGAAGAAAGAAGGAACATGATGACAGCAATTAACGACAACCAAACAAGAGCAGAGATGGCTAAAGCACAAGCTGGATACACAGAAGCAAACAAGCTAGTGAAAGAAAGCATTAGAGCTGCCAAGCCGAAATATGGGGAATAGCCAGCAGCAACAGTCAAAAATCTGCCCAGAGAGGGAAATTGAGGGAACTATATGACATAAAAAAGAAATGTGCGGGGCAATGAAGTAAACCAAAAAAGCTAGTCAAGCCCGAAGGTGGATAGACTGAAGATGGCACAGGTATTCGGAGTTTGATAACGCTTTAAACAGTAACACCTTCCAAGTTGAATCGTACCCATCAAGTGAAATAAAAAGACAGAAGCGAGGATGTTCGAAGATATATTTGATAAGCTATCAATATATCGAAGACCGTCTGAACTAATCTGGCTAGCGAATGCGGTAGATGTTGAGCACGGCGTTTCCACATGTGATCTGGTGCGGATGCTTGACCGAGCGCTTTCAGCTAGATGAATCCATCACTCTGTGGTCAGCATCCAATGTCGAAGACTTACAGAGCTATTTATTTTGGGGGTTTATTTACCGCTACAAGACAATCATTGAGATTCGAAAACAGAGGAATAAGTGAGTAGAGCACTTTGAGGAATTGATGGGTAGGGCAGCTACTTTGAACTCACCGGAAGTCAAAACAGCAACTATACACCTTCCTATAGATGTCACTCCTCGAACGATCGAAGAAATCAGGATGGCTATCAGACAAATCAAGAGTAAGAAAGCAGCATAACTTGACAATATACCGGCTGAATCACCAAAGTCAGATATAGAAGCAGCTAAAGACATTCTTAATACTCTATTTAAGAAGATTTGGGAGGAAGAATAAGTGCTGACAGACTGAAAAGAAGGATACCTCACTATGATACGAAACAAAGCAAATCCAAGCAGATATGAGAACTACAGATGCATCACATTATTATCAGTAACAGTAAAAGTTTCCAACAGAATGTTGACGTATGGAACGACAGATTCATTAGACGTCAAACATCGAGATCAATAGATTCAAGCAATTCGTAAGGATCGGCCGTACACAGACTAAATCATGACACTACGGAACATTGTTTAACAGTCGGTTGACTGGAACTCATAACTATACAAAAACTGTCTTGGTTATGAGAAAACGTATGACAATGTAGAAGGGAGAACATTATGATACCTTCCTCGATACTGTGGTGTACTTGGGAAGATCTTTTACGTCATTCAAAATTTTTATGTTGTCAGACAAGGCTGCTTACTCTCACAAATTTCTTTTTCTTCTTGTGGTCGACTGAATTAAATTGGCTGAGATTTGTAGCCAAATACAAGTATTTACAAAATAGTGTATTTCATGTGACCAGATAATCTGCAAAGCATACTCCATATAACAAAGTACTCCACATTTTCAAAAGACAGGATAATAACAAATCAATCAACAAACAGACGGAACGTGCGTTCTTCAAGAACGATGCTTAATGTTAAACTATGTGTGAAACAAGGTTGTTAAAATTTCCCCCAACTTCTAGACCCCTTCTATAAGCAACCGTGTCGAAACATTGCTTCACGGACTAGTTTCTTGAATATTGTTTGTTAGTTTACCATACTGTTTATATGAATGTTTAATTGAGAAATGAGAAATTAAGGACGATTGCCAATTGGAGTGAAAAAAACCTAGCAGTAATATCACCCGTCATAATTGAACGCTAACGAGCTGACGCTCATAGCCTACTCTTTTCGTATATTGTGATAATAATTGGTATTTCCTTTGAATAACCATATTTATTTTAATTTACTATGCTAAATGTAATAAAACTCATGTCTCGAAAAGATTAAAAATAGAGTTAAAGTTGTTTGAATCCTAACATAACCATCATTATCAACATTATGCATGAAGTATCACTTAAACAAGCCCTATCAATTATTTAATCTATTAAATATATTTAACAGGAAAATGGATTACAGATAAAAGGATTGACAAATCCCTTATCAGTTATAGCAAGATAACTGTTCAATTGAGTTTTTTTTGTTAGATATATACATATTAGAAAGATAGCTATCTAACCATCTTTCAAACGAATCACATTGTACATTAGCAAACAAGTAACCTACTGGACATCTAATATTCAATTTTGAATGTCAAACGTTCAATAAAAAAAGATACTTGATGCTGGAGTAACCATTAAACTAGTCTCTACTTCCAATTAGTATATCGTCTTCATATTATTTTCGTTATGCGATCATCTATATCATATTTACTTCAATTTGTAAGAAAGAAACCTTAGTAACAGGAACCAAAGTATCTGTTGTTGTTTTTATTTTGACAGTGTCTCTTTATTCACATTTGAAAAAATAGTGAAAATATTATACTGTAAAAAAAAGAAAACAATAGAAATTTAACTTTATTGAACAAATAATTTAAAAAAGCATAAAAATAACAAAAAGTTTTATTACTAACCATTTAACATACGAACAATTAATCCGATATTTTAATTATAGATAGAAATAAAAAAAATTATCAATTTACATTTTCATAGTACAATATCATACAAATTCAGAATTTAATAATTCAATTGAATTATAATGATTATTAAAACAATCCATTGTAAATTATGAATGAAAAGTTAATATGATAAAGCCCATTTATTGTAAGTAGTGTATATACATATTATAAATATATTACTTTTCATATTATATACATGTATGGATAATTCTTTGGAGACATGATCCTTAATAATAATAACAATAATAATCCGATAGCAATCACTGAATTCTCTTTTCGTTTACATAAACTATTGATTTTTAAGTACATAATGTAAGACGAACGATGAACTAAATTATGCATTGAGTTTTTCTATATTGATTCTGTACAATTATAAGATAACAAAATTTGATAGCCAGAATTAGGACCGCTTTAACATAAAATATTTACTGTTGAACATATGGAGGTTTAGGATAAAATGACAGAATCAATGCAGTAATTTAGCTGTCAACATTATTGATAATGTAATAAAGCATAAAAAATATCTAAAAAGTGAATAAATCACATAGGGAGAAAAAATACAATGAAAGAAATACTGTTTCTTACAATTTATTGAAAATAATTATGGGTAGATTTTAAAAATCCGTTTTACTAATTGGGATTATGTACGAAGAAGAGATACTATTGATAGAATTCGTACTTCCTTTTGATACAAGACTTGTGGCGGTAAATGTAGATGTTATACAGGATTTTGCTACAGACTGACGACTAGCTAGATTATTTTTATGATCTGAGATATTTTTGAATGCGGTGTTGGGATTACTTTTCATAGTTGATGCTGAAGATGTTCCAGTTAGACAATTTAAACGATTTGTTTGTCCTAGGAGAATCCGTAAACGAGGCCTGCCACAATCAGAACCAAAAGGATCAAGAAGTGGAGCTTCGTGAGGCTAAATAAATATTTAATATTGAAAAATATAGTGTTATTGAGAAAAAGAACAATAAACAGTGTATCAAATAAAAGATTTGTGTTGATATGAACTCACAACAATTTTAAAGGCAGTTTTCATAAACTACGAAAGTTGCAATGCATATATTGATAAAAGCATAGTAGATTGATGAGTGTATGTTCAAAAAGTTTAGATATTTTTAATTTTAGTGCCAGATTATGACAAAGATAGGTCAGTCCTGTTCACGGAAAAGAAAATGGATATAAAGTTTTACATTGAATAAGGTATTAGATATAAAGTAATAGGATGAGATTTAGAAAGCTTGTTATTCACACTATAAAAAGTCGTGCCCCAGTTGAGTTAAGTAATCGAGAAAACCTACTAATACTGTAACGTTAGATATCCGAACTCAATTTACAGAAAGTCACAAACCTGATTTTACATGCTAGGGGGAACATGTCAGCAAGGTGTATCTGTAATTTTAAAGGAACTGATGATTATAGAACTAGGCAAACTATCTATTAACCAATCTGTAAAAAGTTATGCATTTACATTTACCTTGATAATTGTTTTCTTATCCTTTTTTATTTTTGAATAGGGTAAAATCCTATTCTCATTAGTTAATTACACTCTAATGTTATTAACTTAAGTCCATAAGATTTATATATTTCATAAATTTTATAAACTTATCACCGGTAATTTGAATCTATTCTTGTATTTAATCACTTTGTTAAATGTACTTGTAATATCAAACTTCATATGTCCTCTTGTCAAGCTGATAATTCTTTTATTTCATACGTTAGTATTAAATTCAATTAATGAACTTCATTAATTTTAAGCCTTTTATGCTAACAAGTAAATTTGTCGTGATATTATTTCAAGGAAATACAGTCGTAAAACATTTGAAATGGAACTATAAAAAAAGTTTGTACTCCGAAATATTCCTTCTGTATTTTGATGGAAATCATAAATTGAATTAATCAATACAAATAAGAAACTTGAGATTTTCATGATATTACTTTAACAGATGAATAAATAAATAAAGTTAAAGAACGATTTCAGCATATATTTGATGAGATAGTTTTTCTTAAACCATTTTAGGAAATTGAAATAACAGTCTTGCAGAAGAATTTTTATGATGTTGACATGAGATAGTTCTATCTATGAAACGTGTGATCTGTTATTAACCAATGATGAGTCAAATGTAAACTATGTATTCTCTTTGGTTAGTCCACCAAATTCATAATTATATTAACTTGTTTATGTTTAATTTTGTTAGTTTCCTTTTACTATGATGATGTGAAATATGACAACTTGAGACAAGAAGCATTTATGACGTGTCCTACATTGTTAATGATTAAATGAAAAGATTGAGTAAAAATGAAATGCTAACTCAAAGAAATGGGTGATCAAATGTTATAATACAAAAATATGCTGTTGTTAATCTTTACTGAAGGTTGTTTATCAGTCATAGTTTATGAGTTTAGATAAGTAACAAGATAAGGAATGACAAAACTGATCCAACAAGATGAATTTTATACATAATAATGAAAATTTTTAGGTGATAAAAGAAAAATATGAAGAATTAGATTTACTGAATGCAAATTTCGGCAAATTAACTCTTGGATCAAACAACAACATGGTCGTCTTTGTTGGAAATTATACATTCAAAAATCTTCATTAGATACAGGTCAATGGTGTATAGAGTCTAGTAGACCTCCTACTGATTGATTTACACTATTACTGTCTATTTATTTCATCATTATAACGATAAGCTCACTTATAATTTTTCATAGATTGGTATGCAACTAAGTGGTAATAATCCATAAGTATTATCAATATTTCTCGGAACAACTTAGCTAATAGAAAAATTGTTTATTTATAAGAGTTCTCATTTATATAAATCAAAGATAATAAATTTCACTTTGGACTGATGTATGCATTTAGGAGTAATTATTAATGAATATTATAGGTAAAATATCAACAATAACTGTATGAAAAAGAAAGACAATCACACGAATATATATATATATATATATATGAGTAGTTATCTAAAACATTTTTTAAAACTTTTCATGTATGTAAATAGTAGCAACCAAATTGTTTTTTACCTAAAGGTTTCCTATTTGTTTAAACATTTATAGTAATATAAACCATATATTTCAGTAGTGTTAAAATAATGAAATGATTATTTGTTTAGGTAAAACTATCACCAAGTAAAGATTGCTCATATTTATTACAATAAAAGTTTGTAAAGTATACACTTAAGTAATTTATCAAAGAAAAAAAATATATATATATATATACTGTATTACTGAATGAATTTGTTGATAATGAAAACCTGAACAAAATTGTTTTAAATTATTATTTAGTTAATTAAGATAATAAATGTTCTTTGTATTTGTTATTAGTAATAATGAGTGTAAATAAAAAAGTGAAATGAAATCTAATTTAGTTGAAGAAAACTATACAAACATTATTTACCTGTATTTAATTTTGATTAATAACAACTGAATATTCTGTGAAATTAACAGGAAAAAAACTTAATACTTAATTAAATTATACCGAATTCAACTTGTTGTTATAAAACAATTGGTAACTAACTAATTATGTAAAATAACATTTTAGAAGAAAACCAAGGAAAAATATAACATCCATGAGTTTTCATACTAAATAAATTATCCGAGTATTTTTTAGACCAAATCACTTTGTATAACAGATTGATATTCATTGTAGAACTATTACCAAACAAGCAATATAGAATCTGTTCTGTGGAATGTGCTTATAACCAAGCATACTGGATTAAGAGCAACACTTCTAAGTGTTGTGACTAATATTGTTTCAATACAACTGAAATGAAATCAGACGGTTTACATTTTGAAACTCATCCAATTCGCCATACAGTACGATGATTATACAATGCCATAAGTGATAAATGTCTCATTTTAAATTGATCTTCGATTGAATTTAGTTAAACGACACACTTTCTAATATCTATTCAATCATCTATCCAAAGTAATAAGACTAAGCGTGAGTTGGAAACTTTAATGTTCATCATCGGTTGAATACATTCATAAATCATGCGCATATATGTATTACTAAACTAGTTCAGATAGAGATTTGTGAGGGGTAACCTTAGTTAGACGATTCATCTACTCACTCGAAGTAAGCACGCTCATGTTTACACTTCTCGCTTGCCATAAACAGAATTGAATTTATAAATGGCCAAACACAAATTATGTAATGAAGTTTTATTTTTTTTATCTCAAAGAAAATAATAAAGATTTCTTTGTTTTATTGCTCCCAAAAAATTAAAAGCAATACTTCCTATTCATCAAAATTTAATAAAATGGGCTAGTTATTTTCAGAAAATTTTGACAAGTTCAGAACACTAGGCAACGAAACCAATTTGAAGAACTGGTAACAAGCTGCACTGCGTTAAGATACTGCACTTTTCAAGATTATTTGTTAAAATAAAATCAATAGAAGAAAGTATTACGAATATATTTGATTGTCTTGACTAAAAATCAACCCAGTTCGAAAATATTAACACATATATTACCTAGCCAGAAGGCTTGGTGATTCATGAATAATCATCGAAGCCGGTTTGTTGAAGTTAGGTGAGTATGAATTAGGTGGAAACAACTGAAGTCAATCGCACAAACAGCACCTTTTATTGATGTTATTAGAAAAATTATGTAATGACGTAGCAATATATATGATGCTAAATTATGAAAATATTTTTCTTAATATGAAGTAAATGCAGAATCACTGTTAAGAAATAACAGAGAAACAAGGCAAATGTTAATGTGTAGATTCCATGATGTTCTTTAACTAAAATGCAAAAGCTGTAGACAGGTAAACATGAATTTACTGGAAATATGAAGTTAACAGAAAGATAAGAAGAGAAACTGGAAACCTAGAACTACAAACTAGGATAATAAAAAAATTGAGCAAACGTTTTTGGTACGTATAGCGTATGTATAGTGGATAATGTTTCACAACTCTAGAAAAATTGAAGGTCTTCTCTATTTGATAGGTTTTTTTCATCTTTTGCATATAGAATCACAATAAACAGTAAATAAAATAAATGTACAAGAGTAACCGAAAGAATTTCTAGGGAATGGTTTTATGGATAAAAATACTCACATACTTGGAAAATAGTTCAAGTTTTATTCTAAAGAAGTGAATTTCACGTGATGCTAGAAAACTTGATAAGATAGAACCAAAATTTTTATTAGAACTAACAATGTTTGTATACAAAAATACTGAAAAAAACAATAAAGTGATTGGTGCACTCTGGTTTGGAACTTCTCATACATACTCACAGACAATGACGACGACTGTCCACAAATAGATTAAGCCGATAAGAAGTGGATACACATTATTCAGATTATATTCCATAACGTGAATTAAATAAAAATATGGAAATGTAAACAATATATTTCATTCCAAGGATAAGATATTAACAGCTGTTTGATGATATCTCAAGGATTTCAAGTTGAACTTTACTTTAGAAGGAAGTAATTAATTTACGGAATTCGTTAACTCCTCAAATTTTAGTCTATAAACATTTATACTCAATGTAAATATGATACTGAAGGGCCAAAATGTTGATATAAAGAAATAATGACGAAAATATGTTAACAACAATAATATTATTATCTTGAATAATAAAAAACTAACCTGAACAACTTGTCTAGGTGGAGTAGTTTTTCTACAATCTAATGAATTTAATTGTTTTAATGCAGAAGAATTGTCTGAACTTTTCTCAGATGTTTTTCTTACTAAAGTACTTGACTTATCTTCAACATCAGATGACCAGTCTAAATTATCATTGGAACTGTTAACATTAATGCCATTATTATTATTCAATCCCATTACTGATAATTGTTTGGATACTTGTGTATTTGGTAGTAATTTATTTGACTGCTCAGTAACATCTACTGATGTTTTATGACCACGTGTAAATACACGTGTTAAACGATTAGAATTCATTAAATCACCAGTAACTGTTAGAATCCGACGTTTCTCGCGTCTCGGTGTCAATCCAATTGGGTTATTCAGTGTTAGATCGATATCCTTAATGGTTAGATTCAATGATTCAGCATCGCGAATAACATCAGTTTTAGTAAAGGATGTTATGAAAGTATTTTTGTTTTGATTCATATTAAATACATTCCCATTCATTTTTACATGCTTATTGCTATTATTATCCGTAGATGATTTGGTTTGGGATTCTGATGAATTTATCAACGATGAACAACTTCCATTGATTGCATTAGTTGATGTAATACTACGTTGCATTATACTGTTTGTACAGTTTAGCCGACTAATACTACGTCGACGAAAAATTCTATGCCTATATTTAGTAAAAAAAGAATTTCATAATACAACTGGTATTAAAAACGGATATGTATTAACGTAAATATATTACTGTTAAAAATTTATTGAGTATATATTCATAATACTCTGAATTAATCTTAGTAACAAGTAAAATCATTTCGAATATTAATGTCCATTCATATGTAGTATGGTTAGAATTAAATAATACCGATTGTCAATAAAGACATTTGTCAAGTTTTTCATTATAAACTTATACTGAGGGTTATTAAACACTCATTTTATCTTACAACACACATTTACAAAGTTACATAAAGTCACAGGTGAACGTCAATTTTAACAATCAGTAATTTGGCTTTTGAAAACTTTTAGTGCTATAACGATGACCTATAAACTCAATGAACTAAAACGCTATTTATATGCAAAGTCAAAAATTAGCTTTTGTCCAACGATTATGAAATCTTCCCGTCTTACATTAATAAAAAATCTACTTTGGCTTTATATAGAAAAACAATTGAATGATTATTGTAAGACAGAATTCCTTTTTGACACACAACTGTAAATTTTAACAACAACCTTTTGACTTACATAATATCATATCAAACATTCACAATTCAAAAATCTATCAATTCAGTTTGACTACTAATGATAGAGCATAGTTCTAAAAAATTAAACTAAAAGTCTTTTTTGATAATACCATAGTAATTTAGCATGATAAATCCTTTATGTACGTGAGATCAAAATAAATATTCAGAAAACTTTTTCCCCGGAAACCAAAATTTACGAAATACACTTGGTTATGCTCCATCTCTGACTGAACATTTAGACAGTTCATGGATTCTCATAAATTAGGATTTCGGTATCCTGTCTCTTATCAAATCATTAAGAGATAATTGTATTTCAAACACTGGTAATACGACCGGACAGCTTAGTAACATGTAATTTAACTTAATATTATTTGTGTTTTGACCTTGCGTCACTGTAAATTTTGATTAATTTCTGTTTTGTTCCGACTTTCATTAAAACTTACGGTTAGGAATTGTTCATAACTTTCTTAAACAAAATATTTGTGTTATACTGCCTACAAACTATACAACTTTAATAATAATTTAAACAACATTAAATACAGTCCAAACATTACTTGATAGATTGTTTAAAAAGATTATGACATAAACTGACTTTGAATAATGCCTAATAAATAAAAAAAATTACGTTTTTTCCGTTTGAGTTTTGACGTTTGTTCAAATAAATTCAATTAAAATGTAAATGTTCAAGATTTTAAAGTCAAAATAATCGTCTGTATGCTTAGCTAGTTAACAGAAGGAAGTTACATTGCATAGGCCATATATATAGAACTTCTAAGTCGTGAACAGGTATTAGTAAGATATTTGACTACAGTAATAGTCACGATGATAAACCTTTCCGATTTACATTATGAGAGCCATCATAAAACTATCTTCTTTAGAGGCTTGGCAAAAGCTGAACATCGTATATTACGTAATACGGCATTAATAAACTGAAAGTATATGTTACAGAGACAAATACATCTTAGTGTAACTCTTAAACTAGAATAGAAAGTGGATGGAAGTTAAAACTGAAGATCTCAACTGACATAAATATCTTTTGTAATAGCCACTTTCTTCTGATGTCTATAATATACACATAGTGAGAATGGAATATGTGTTAAACATGATAATCTATTTCCCAGTTTATCATTTCATCATTAATACAGAAACATATTCAGAAATTAAACCTAGCGGAACACATTGACAAACAATTACTAAGGTGAATAGCACTTTGAAAGATAACTCAACTACTAAAAATAAATAAAACCAATTTTCATGATGGAGATAAAAAATCGAACGTAGTGCGGGAATTATCGTAAAATTTTCGAATCAATAGTTTCTGTCTCCATGATATATACAAAAATAGGTTTATAGCTCTTTTTTATCTTGACTGAAATCTTTTGCAACTATTTCCCTCTATGAAATCCTATCATTCATTTGCAGATGTAGTAAATGAACAGTATTTTGATGTTAGAGAAATTATTTAATTACGATTCTAACATAGGATTTTATTGACATGAATAGTTGATCTCTAAATTATTAATACTGAAGTTTCAAGACTAGACAATTAAAAAAATTTCATAAATCATCATCTAAAGTTTGTTTTATTAAAATGTCAATAATAAATTATAATTGATAAATTAGTTAAAATTCTAATCGATAGTATTGTTTATGCTTAACTACTTGATGTACACTATTGGTTTACGTCATAAAATATGTGTCAGACATACAAACGTTGTGAAAACGCAATTCAATTTTGAATAAAACATGTAACCATTGTAGACAATTTAAATAATGGTAATGATAGCAATAATAAAAAGCATTAAAAATAGTAGTTTGATGAGTGTGAAGTATTTTACAGATCCTTAGAAATCAAATGGTTGACTAATTCTTGAAGATTTTCATCACACATAAACCTAAGCTGGAGGACAACATAAAGGAAATAAGGATTATGTAATTGTTTTGGTTTGCTCTTAGGGCTCATTATTAATGAGCACACAAAACTGTGCACAAAGTTGAACCCAGGATCTTCATATTTTGAGAAAACTATTGTTTATTTGATTCGCTGAGTAAGGAGATAATGTTTCACATTCCAGGTTTGATGAATTAAATCATCTGACACCATTTATGAATAACTGCTTTCTGCTAGATATGGTTGAACTTCAGTAGGCACAATTTATCAATAGAATTTAAGAAGTTCATCTCAACGCCAATTATTAGTAAATATATGAAGAATATTTGGTTTTAGATAGCTCTTTGGGTGATCCCAATCTGTTACAAAAGCTTACTCAAGATTATTATTATTGCGTAACAATCTTCCATTCATTTATTGAGAAGTATACATGTATGTAATAACAACCTTCAGAATTTATATAACGCATCTGACAATCTGATAACTGCAACTGTCAAAACTTTCAAAACAACTATACCGTAATAGTTTAGATAACACGTAACGATGAGAATTCGCTGTAAGTTTATATAATTCTCAGTATAGGGATGTGAAGATTGTTAAGTTTTAATTGGGATCATGAAACGATCAGTGTTAGACCACCACTCAAAACCTGGAAGCACTAGACGGCCGTTTCATCAATGGGAGGTGTTCGCGCAATATTGTCGATTGGTTGAAGTTAGATATTACCACTGTTGGATCCCAATCCAATGGTCTGGAGTTTAAACATTTGTGAGAGACCGAGTGTCCTGCGTTTGAGTTCCGCGTGTGGGATTCATCTGCATTACTGAGGAGTCCCATACTAGAACGAAACGACCGGCCAGTGCTCATAGGTTTTCAGTGATGATCTTACATTGATCGGTATATAATTTTGTTCAAAATAGCTTATATAAGAATTATAAAACAGTAATACGTAAACAAAAGAAAAATTATAATTTTTACTATAGGATGGATAGAGGAAAAATGAATATAAAACAACATTTGAAACATTTCTAGATAGTTATTTAATACAACAAGAGAAATATTAGTAATAATGATGGAAAGAATAACAAACAAAGAATGAATCATCTTGACATTTTTCTAAGTCTATCACATGCTGGTTTGTCATGCTTCCTAGGATAAGCAACGACAATAAGAATAGAAGATATGAAGAAGAAATAATTAGATCATAAGGAGTAAACTATTCTTATATGTCAACAATGTAAATTGGTGATCAGTTTATGAACCTTTATCTACATAACAGGACATCGATAATATGTTAAAAAAACAAATCAAATAACTATGGAGACAAGTATAAGAAACAACTTTTTTAAAGTTAACATGAATAACAAATCTTTACCATTATTAGTAAGTAATATTAAATGAAAAGAATAAAATTTCCTTATTGTAATTTGAAAGCGTGGTAATATAAGTGGAGATTTCTGAGAGATATATGAGTTTGTGTATAATTTCAGATATTCAGTTAGTAGACTTCAGATATTCAGTTCTACAAGAATGTCAAATAAATTAACTTAGGGACCATATTACATCTCAACATAGGAAGACCGTGATTATTATTTGAGACTAGATTTTTAACTCTGTTACAGTTTTAATATTAATTTGTACGCTACAGTCTGTTATTTATTACAATTGTATTTCATTTATTTAACATTAAGTAATAAAATAACCTTCAACATATTAATGTAAGGAAGATTAAAACCGATTAGTATTATTACAAGCTTTTATTTTCTAAGTTAACTTTTTATAGATACAATCTGTTGTATCAAAAATGCTGTGCGTATGCGAAAAGTAAATACAAATTCATGTGGTATTATCTAAAAAGCAGATTCAAGTTCTTCTATACTTGTATTTCATGTGTTCAACAAAAGTAAAAAGATATTTTTATCTATCATATACGACATTTAAATTGTTTTTAATTGTATTTTTGTTCATGATTATATCAGTAGTTTAGTCATAGCTTAAAGCATCGAAGTCAATAGTAAGACAATGCTGAGATCTCTGTAATTTTTATATTTATGGTTTTCTAACAGTATTCTCTTTAAGAAAGTTTTTATCCAAAAAAGTTCAGTAGTCTATTTCTTGAGCTTCTAATATGTATTGTAGTGAACACGAACACCATCGCCGACAATCGAATATATTCGATAATCAATTACAGTACTTGTTAATAAAATCTAACAACCATATTGTAAATGCTCAATTTGCAAAACGTCTATCAATTGTCTCAAAATGACTCAGACTTCATTGTTCTTGCATTTTCATACAAATTGCATTCTGTCCTAATGCTTTACTGTTCGATCTTCTTGTCTCTCTGCTGCCAGACATTCTGTTCACGACTAACATCATATACTACTTATGTCTACATAAGTAGCACACACCACAATATGTGTTAGATTCGTAGTTTTCGATAATAAATACGCAAGGAGTCTTGTTTGTAATCCAAAAGATAAACGAAATATATTTGACTCAGATTACCTTTTACTGTACATGAAAAGTATTGACCTGATGCGGAATCAGAAAACGTGACCATTTCATCGTGACTGATTCTTGGTTCTAAGACAATATCATATTTTAGAGACACCTGTAAGAATGAGGCTACATTATTTGTTCACACAATAACGAATTAGACCTAGCAATAGTAAAACAAACTATGCAAACGAGTTTAGATCAATAGAAAATTTAACAAGAAACAAATGTATAAGGCCACATATCACGAGGAAATATTTACAAATCGCGAACACAGAAAATTATTTTCGATGAAAAAAAACGATGTAAAATGAATTTATTGTTCAATATAATAATAAACTGATGTAAAATATATAGATTCATTATAAATGAACTTATGTTAATAAACAAGGAATAAGTTCTGAACTATAACAAAAATCAAAATTCCATATATATACAATTTCAACAACAGTTTACAAACTCTTAGGACAAGTTAAGGTGACGTATGAAAAGTAAAATGATATCTATATATTTGAAAAATTTCATGTATAAAATCAATTTTGCAACGATTTGATAGATTAAACCTGTACTTAAAGAGATAATCAACCCATGATGTAAACACTGATTATTATCACATGTTTATGATTTATCTCCAGAACAAATAGACTATTTTAGTGGCAACTCATTTAAGATGAACTGAATTGTCTCTAATAACAGCAATATAAATTTCATCAATAGGGGTGTTATAAAATAATAATAACTGATTTGTCAAAAATTGACTAGATATCTTAATAAGAAGGTTCTTACTTGGTAATTTAAAAAGATCGTGGTCGCCGTGAGATCTGAAAGATTCGCAAATCGATGCAGATTCAAAATTTAGGTGTTAATTTTTTGATTTCCAGTTGATATTAGTTCATGATAGAAATTATCTACAAATTGCTATAAATTTTTTAAAAAATTCCCTTTCAATAAGTGAATATTTAACGACATAATAATTTAAAATTTTGCAGTATGATTCATTTGTCATTTCGATTATTGAAATAATGAACGAAAAGATTCCTTTATAATTTAGCCTTGGGTTAAAATTCGAAAAGACAAAAAAAATGTCGCCTTGTAGGATATGATGAAAAAAAGATGGTGGAAACTTACAGGCGAATAGGAATTAGAACACATAATAATAATAATAATAATAATAATAATAATAATAATAACGATAAAGAAGTAACGAATCAATATAGAATAGGTGGATAAAACAAAAATTAAGTAACAAATGTGAATCATTATTCAAATCGTTTTATAAAATAAATCTAAGTAGAACGAAATTAACCAATGGACAAAATAGGATTAAACACTAATAAAACGATTAGATAACGTTATACTTTATGTTTAATATCCAACCATTATAATATGTTGTTTGAAATTTCCAAGTGTCGAGATGAAACAGAGAGTCAATAAAAAAATTATCATTTGTGCTCTAGCATTTTCTAGAGCTCTTATCACTTATCAGCTAGAAAGCCCACATCATATCAAAATAAGAGCATGCGAAAACTTTTTCTCTAAGTGAATATTCCAATGAACAACGATAGATAGTATCATAACTTTCAAAAATTGAGATGATTTCTGTAATTTTTAGTGAAGAGTGTTAATAAAGAGATAGATTAAACAATTCTGGGAACTGTTACAATAATTGATCAGTTTGCTGCAAGGCCTGAAAGTACTGGGTTTGATCCCTTATGTGGGTCACAGATGAGCAGCCTCATACTAGGACTAAGCAAACATCTAAAGCTTCCTACTTTTCGATGGTTGCCAAAATAGAAACAATTCATAATGTAAACCCCAAATTTTAGAAACAAAATAATTCTTCTGTTCGTTTAGAATAGGAATTTTATATCGTCCACTAGAATAATCTAACTAACTAATCTAGACTGAAATCACCATTCAATAACTTAGGTAAATTAATGACGTCATGGTCATGGTCACGGTTTAACAATCAGACTTTCGATATTTAAGTCAGTTTTTACTAATTACCCTCGTCTACTGGTAGACGTGTAAATATCTTAAAAACCAGTTTTGTAAATAAGATCTTTCGAAATTCTTTCTGATCTTTAAACATTCCTTATTGATTATAAGATGTTTCTCTTTATATTTACTGAAACAATTTCGGCACAAATAGACTCTCACCAATAATACACTGTATTTCAGATTAATCTGTTGTTCATATTTAATCATCTAACAGCTAGCCGATACAAAATGAAACCACTGAATATTTTGTACAAAATTGTATTTTATGTGCCACTAGTACTAGCACACACCACAATACTCCACCACACACGGAGAACAAATTTGGGAACATTTATTCGGAATTACCTTCGACATTAAAAGTTGTAGCAAATTAGGTCATTTGTCTAATATCAAATTTCAACAAACACGTGTGACTCATTATAGATATTAGTTACTATACTTTTTAGATTTTTATGAAACCATTTATCGGCTAATTTCACTCGGTATAACATAGACTTAAAGCATTTTAACTCTGAATAAATATCGATTACATATCAGTATGCTTTTTGATCGTTTCACTGTGAATAGTCACTTTATGGCTGTATCCATTTGAAAAAAATCAGCCTATAGTCGTGTGAGTTTTGTTGTTCTCTGAAATCATTTGTTCAAATTTTTTTGAAAAAAGGGCTATCAGATATGTGTAATATTAATTAACTATATGATGATAAACGAAGCTGTTGTTTGAAGAAGCTAATTTAAGATACTAAACTAAGGTACCCATTTGATGTTTATGCAAAAATCTATTCATATAGAAAATAAATTTAATAATTACAAAGTAAATATTTAAATATATACAATAATATTGTTTTATAATACTAAAACATACATCGGTAAACTGACACGAATGCATACATGCAATACATCGTGAATGGTTTGTATAAAGAGGAGGGAAGTAAAAAAACTTCAATGAATTTATTTATGAAGCAGTCTAATCCCTTCCATGGCAGGACATTTTTCGAAATGCATAAATTAAAATTGATGACAATCAATAAAACCTTTGTCTCTCAGCTTTGTTCGGTCAGATTTTGTTTACATTGTTTAGCGAATATAGCTTAAACTATAGTACAACAAATACAGTTTCATTATAAGTAAGTTTTGTGGTTAGAATTTTCTCAACATCTTTTATCTGCCCTTCCAATTTTCACTATTATTTCACAATCACTTAATGGATTATCTTTATTAGGGGGTGATGAGGTAGGGATCAAGGGGAGAGAAAGATTCTTATGTGATTACTGTTACATATGATAAGACATTCGTTTGTTTTGTCTAAACACTATTAAGTGAATCGATGGATTGTACATAGGTGCAATCAAAGTAGGAACAATAGTTATCTGTGTTTTAAACTATCCTTACACAACAGTCATTTCTATTTCATCTACTTCTAAAGATCATTTAGAACTAATAAAGTATTGTAAAAAAGAAACTGGAAGAACACTATGATACAATTTCATTTTATTTTAATGGCATAAAATTTGATGAATGATTCATTACGAGATTGATCAATGTTTTTCTTAATATTTCTTAACCAAAAGCTTTCGTCAAAGAGCAATATATTTATTTATAAATTATGAAAGTTTATTAAACTGGCTAAAGTATTAATCATAAGTTGTAATTTTTCATAAAATCTGTCGATATTACTGTATAATCACCGTCAATTAAAGATCAAATAGAAAATTAGGTACAATCGTTTCAAAAATTAATGAACAAATGAAATTATTATAAATTATTACAGTATAGCATAGTTAAGATAAGGTGAAAATAATGTGTGAATATTATCTGCCTTAGAGTATATTTTTGGGGGACTCAATCTACCAACTAACATATAATATAAGATATGAAAACAACATCTGTAAATAGAATCCTTGAATTTACATATTTAGAATGAAATGAAATTGTGTCACCCTATCAATAGATGTACATGGATTTTCAATAATAATATTTCAAAATAATGTTTATTTAGTAAATTTCCATCTATTTACTTATTAAATGTTATCTTCAAATAGTTATTAACAGTGAATATCATAGTAATAATAATTACTATTCTACAATGATACCATTTATAAATTCGAATTAAGTATCAGTATATACATACACATTTATTAAATAATCAACTCACTGTTTGGTAGATATACCTTCACGAATTCTAAAAAAAATCAATTATTCGTGTAGTAAGAAACATCGTAATGATGGTGATAAGAATTACAATGATAAATATTGTAAATACTGGATAATGTAATAAACAATAATCATTGTATGTCTGATCATTTAATAAGATAAATGTAACACAAATATCGTCTTTAATAGTAATGTTGATTTAAAAGAACGTCATAAATATTAGCGAATGATTTGCACTTTAAATATGCTTGGTATTATTGTAATTATTATCAGGACTACTTCGTCAACGAATTTCGTAATTTGGTTTATATATTTAATAGCAAAGTTGCCTATATATACCCATGAGCTATAAACACTCTGAGTTTGTTTTAACATTAAAGCTTCCTGCAGATTCTTAATCGTTTAATCTCTCATAGCTTGTTGAGTCGAACGCTAGGAAGAGTGTATTGTAACTGAATTTGACTGAGAGATCATAACACTAATTTTCTCATATCTATATCCATACTTTTATGATCATTCGGTTCGATTCAGCCACATTAAAACTTTTCAAACGCTTGACACAACTAGATATGTGATAGCACAAGACTAAGAATGTACCGAAAGCATTACACCTGAAACTGAGTCAGTGTTCATAACTCATGCGTTATAGACACGTATCTTCACTGACCCAGACAGAGATATGTAAGCTGTGATCAAGGTTGAATGAACAATTCTCTTATATTAACATGTTCATTTTTGAATCTCTCTCAGTATGTGGCCTTGAGACAGCATGTGATCTGTCTACAATCCTCCAGACTATCACATCTCTCCTGTAAAGGCTTTGTCTTTGCAACAGACTGAAGTGAAGCCATATTAGGGTTTATGCCATTATCGGTATTTTTGCTACGTTTCAATATTTTTCGTTTGACCTTTTTATGTTTGACGCAAATGGCTTAACACTTGTTTAAAATGTATTACACCGTATCACGTACTTCTAAACTTCATCTTTCGTTGTATTGGTTAAGCATTTATTCGAGTCTTTCATTACAAAAAGTCACTGATTCATCTTTGCCGTATGAGATTATCCATCCGTTTTTCATAGCTAAATAAGTGCGGCATAATGCAATTTTGGACATTTTTGCCTATTTAGTGGTTGAGTGCTGCATATCGGAACGTAATTTTTACTAGAGATTTCATTTTAAGTCATAACTTTTTCAGTATTTATATCTAGTATCAGGCATATTGGGATACGCTATACTGATATTTTCACACCAGATAGATTTGGATAACTTATTATGATGAAAATGAAATCTCCAGAAAAATTACACTCTTACATTCAGTATTTACTTACTAAATGAAAAGTAAAATACCCGAAAATGACGAATATCGTACATATTAAACAATCGGAAATGAATGAACAACTTCACATTATTCTATATTGCTTAGAACCATCTACACTATTTGTTATGTAAAACATGTTTAAAATTAAAGATAAAACTAAGCTTTTGTTACTGGAGATATGTATAGACACCCAAACTAAATGAGTAATTTCTTCATATCTTTCAGTTTTCTGTCATACAAACTTGGCGAATGGGGTAGTAGTTGACTGTGACTAGACCGAAGCATATAAAAAAAGATTATATAAAATATACCACGACTTGTTATAATGAGACTGTAATTATTTGGATAAAAAATAAGATCCCAAAAAGAACCTCAGCATATCGGATAGATTACTCATCTAATTAAATATAAATGTCATTTCTAGGTATTGATATAAACGAATCACAAAAACTTTTATTTGTCACAATAACATTAAGAAGAAATAACTAAGCAAACTGGTAAGCGAATAGCGAATAAGTACGTTTATACTTTAGAACAGGATACAGGAAGAATATAACTAAATAAACGAAATATTTTTATTCTATTAAATATCTACTGCAATATCCTTGAGCAACATGTTGCCGTAACTCCACCTATAGCTCTTCTAAAGTTACCGTCGGTCCCAAGACCGTGTAAAGGATGTGAATCGAGGATGTGGTCAGCAACTCCATCACGTATAAAACAACAACACTAAAGATACACTAAATACAATAAAGAATCTAAACCATCTAAACTCCTCCCTGGGAGTCCAAGGATCTTCATTCAGAAGAATTATGACGCCTCACGGTGAAAGCCAATATTCTTAGGAAGTCACGAAACCGGTGCCACTTCTAACAACCAGAGCAACAATTAATATGAGTACATGGAATGTTTGGACATTGTGGAATACTGAGAGGACCAATCAAATAACTGTGAAAATGATATGTTCATACTTAAAACCAGCCTATTTTTCGTAAATAAGTGGAAATAAAAATTGAATACAAGATTAAGAAACCGATATCATTGGTAAAATTTTATTATAAAACTTTTCAAACTTTTAGGTGACGATTTTAAGAAAGAACCTTGTTTGTGAAGTGCCCACACTTGGCGTCATTCATGCGATAGGATCTTAAAAGGGAAATTTCGAAGGTGAATAATGTAACACCTCCTTTTTAGACATGATAATACCTTATACTTCCCAGTTCCGAATGCAAAAATACTGTTTCAAAAGCTATAGGAAAGATCAATATTCTCATAATAGTAGAAACACTAATTAGTAACAATACCAGTTATAATCATAACGATTCAAAGATAATTGATATGTAATATGATAATCTCATATAATTTGTTATGAAGACAAATAATGCAATTTTCAATGTACGCATTCAAAATAACACTAATCAATGGGGAAATCAGTGAATAAACAGAAGTAAGTACCTGAATAGTTTGTCTAATTTTTCAACTCCACAAATTTTATTATAAACTTATTTAAAAAGGTTAGCGAAAAATTTTGTGAAGAAAACCCGTTGCATGAACTGGGTTTATAAAGCTGAAATCTTGTGATCAGATAAATCAAAAGACCTATACTGGTACCTGAATTTCATAGCTAACGTTATACACTGATGTCAAAGACTCCCTGCTGTTAAACTGCTCATCAGACTACGTTGGTTCAGGGTATAATATTAGTGTGGTTATTTTTATTACTGCTAGTAGTGATGATTATTATCATGATGTAACATACTAATATAGATTTAAAATATCATAACGATATGCTCTAAAATACACATTTAATTTACATTATACTTTTCAATATATAAACCAAAGTTATTTGTGGTACAAATTGTTTGAATATAATAGTATTGAAGTGTTTAGATATACAAATTAAACTTTTAATGTCCAAAGCATAGTGATAAAGAAATCACGAAACACATCGATTAATTGTATATAACATATAAACAATAACTAAAGTTTTGTTTATAATAATATGTGTACTGTAATATCACCATAAAATAGGTTTTATCAGTGTATCGTCTAAGTTAAGATTTTTATTTTACTATAAACATTAATGTATACATACGAAATTTAACGACATACGTCTAACTGATAAACAAATAGCTAAGATAAACTCATGAATTCAACTGTGAAAATTACTGCAATTTCCACAAATCCCCTTACTGATGATAATCATATGCTCACTAGTGACTAGCTTCAAGGTTAACATTAAATGCGCTCTGTCGTCAGGTCCTGAAATTTTATATCAAGCTTAAGAAATAAACGGCCAATTATAACGAACTCAAAACTAGCTCTTTGATTGGACGGAACAGAATGAAAATTATTGGAAGATGGGGATGAAAAATGTTTTCGAATGGGACGAAAAAAAATTTCACTCGAAAAAAAAACAAAAAAATGGACGTGCATTTAATGTTAACCTAGCTTCAAAATGGATTTCCTGGAGTTCTAGTGAGAAGCCCTGACTAGTGAAGTCCAATCCGTGTCGAATGTGAGACAGTTATCCACCTAGGACGATGGCTGAAGGGTTGTGCAAGATCATTAATCGATTGACCGAAGGTCCTACTTATGAGTCCCGTGCTGGGACAAAATGGCCGTTCAGTGTTTCCAGGTTTCGATGGTAGTCTTAGCTTAGATCGACTTTTAAGATATAAAAGTATACTTATTTTGAAGAACATGGACATGAAGACAAGGGAATTTTCAACAGAGAATTATATAATATGGTAACTCATCAAAAAAATGAGAACTATAGATATTTATTTAGAAAATTATTATCGGATAAACATCTTACTCTTCATTCAGATATTTACACAGTATGCAAACTTGTCAGAAAATCTCATATCAAAAAAGAGTTTATCCACTTATTTACGTCTTTAAAACTTGAAATAATACACCAAATCTGGTAACAGATGAAAACTAACATTATAAGCAAAGATGTTTAATAACAAGCAATGGGATCCAAGACGCGCGTCTCGTCCTATTTGGGACTTGTCAGCTGCACGCACCTGCATCCCAGAGTTGATGTTCACCACGGGACTCGAACTCGGTACCGTTCGCTTCAAACACCATTATGTTGTCCACTTTCTACTGAGTCGTTATAGTCACTAGCTTGTGCAATGTAGTAAAGTTTAAATTCATTTGGTATCGTTTGTTTTAAGCTTCTTATTGATGTTTAGGACTGTCAGTCTCTTATTGTCATATGTACATCCTGTGCGGATTGCCTCGATATTGCAGCCTCAAACATTAATGGGAAGATTCAAACAAACAATACCAGATGAATACTAAGTCTACAATTTTTATTTTGAATTCTCAGCTTTATGCGCAAATATTAAAATTATCAAAGACATTTATATTTTAACCTATGAATATAGTAAAATATAATTAATAAATAATTAGCTATTGTGAGTCGAAAAACACAGTCTTCTGTCCAATGGTTTTGACATTTATTGTAAAACATAAAGTCTAAAGAAATAATTAAAAATCAGATTAGAGTTACATATAATATTCATTCTATTTTTTCTATGTATTCATATAATTATTGACTACTATATCAATAAGTACAATGATAGTTTTCTGTAACATCAGAAACTAAACAAAAATGTTGTTGAACTAAGTAAAATGTTCTATACATATCATTATTATTATTATTGTTTTTTGTCAGAAAGCATTTTTTAGGTAATT